GCTATGAAATTGCACGCGCTTCTTGGTTGCCACTCCTCCATGCGATCCATCTCGATCTGCTTGCATCAAGAGCTCCCCAAGCTCAACCCCCTCTCCATGGCCATCTTCGAACCCTCGTAAACTCTTCGACCACAACTCGAGCGCCGACAAAAAACCGTTTAAACTGGCATTTTCCACATCACAACTATATTTTCGTATCACTCACGACAAGTCGACGTGACGCTGAGGGGCGCTCATACTTCCAACTCCACCTGGGTGCCAGCCCAGACACACCCTTTAGGATGACCGAGTCATCGCCCCGAGCGGTTCGTTTTTCAGGTACTGAAGAAGATGACCGCATCGACAAGAACAGGAGTCATCGGCACGAAACTCCAATCGAAACCAACGGCGATCCTCATGCGACAGAACGTCAGGACGAGCTGGGTAATTTATCCCGATACGAGACATCGGGCCACACAGGGTCATTGACTTCTCTGCTTCCTGGGACGGTCATTAATGGTGCCCCAAAGTCACAGAGAGTTGCTTCTGGTGACGACGGCGCGGCCTATACACCCAATGGCTCCTGGCCGCAGCGACCACTGGGTCCGGCGAGGACACCCTCGAACACCTACAATCCTGCCACCTCCAGGAAACCAGTTCATCCGCCAGTTACACCATCTTTCACAGAATCAATCCGATCATCGTCTAAGACGCGCCCACGGCAGAGTGAGAGCAGGTTCCGAGCACAGGAGCGAGCATACGTACAGAAACTTCGGCAGGACAATAGTGGAGGGTACTTTTCGTCTTACTCGAATTTGAATGGAAACGATTCGGACTCAGAAGGCGAAACTCCCTCGTCAGAGGGTCCATATGACGATCGCTTCGACCAGGAGACCATTATGTTTTACGGCAACGACAACCTTCAGCCCACGGACGAGGATTTGAAAGACCCAGAGAATCGCGAAAGGCTTGAGTGGCACGGTATGCTCGAGGCTGTCCTTACTGGAGATGTCGTACGGCAAGAGAAGAAACGACTGATTGGATCGGCGGATCAACAGGCGGGCAAGAGCGCTCACAAGACCGAACTGTGGCTGGGCATCCGATCCAAGGTTTGTGGAAGACATATCCCTGTCCAGAGACGTATGTTGGAGGAATCTCGGTCCACTCTTGACCGTACCCTCGACGAGATCATCAACTTCCAAGTCAAGGGTGAGAGCGAAGCAGGAAAACCACCGTACGAACAAGTCAAAGACATGGTGGCCAAGATTGAGATGTGTGAAAACCTATACCCTTCTTGGGCTTCACTCGCAGCAGAACACAAGGCAGCAGACTCTGCCACATTCAAAGAAGCCCATGATGCTATTATATCGTGGTACAACACCAACGAAATGATAAACACGGAACTGAACATCCTGAGGAAGTGGGTGGGGAACGATGAGCTCGACTTTACACGGACTAAACAGCGATCGCCAGCTGTAAACGGTATAAGCAGCGACGAAACATCCTTCCTCGACCGGCTAATGAAAGAAGACGGACTTCAATCTCTTTACAACGACGACAATGGGAACCTTGAAAAAGGAATGCTTGCACCCATATCCACCGTCATCAGCAAGGCGAAGGACACTCTTATTAGGAATTCCGAGCCGTTCCGCAAACGCCACCTACCACCATATCTCGAAGAGCTTCTTACTCTTATCAGCTTCCCTTCGCGTCTCATTGAAGAGATCACCCGTACACGTCTCGCTTATGCTAGGAGAGTTAAGGAATCTGCCCAGCAAAACCCTCTCATGCAGGATCAAATGATCTCCCAATTTCAGCTTCTGCTCAAATTTGCCATTCGAATCAAAATCGAGTGCACATCAATTGCGCACCCTGAACCAGGCTGGGATCTACCACCTTGCATCGATGAATCTTTCGACCAAGTTGTACTGGAAGCGTTGAAGTATTACTTCAAGATGCTAAACTGGAAGCTGAGTGGAAACAAGAATACTTTCAAGGAAGCAGAACTTTTGTTTCAAGAATGGGATTTCGCCAACGAAATCGGTAGCCATCTGCAGCGAGGCCATATTGAAGTTGCGGAGCAGTTCAGCTCGCTCACATTCAAGGCTCTCAACAGACTCAGCCAGACTTTCGAAAAGGAGTTGCAAGCAAAGCCCAAGGAAACCGCATCGGAGATGAGTAAGCGTTACAAGGCTTGTCTCGACTCCGTACGAGTCCGCCAGCGGATGCTCCAGCGATTCACTCGAATGCTGAACGACAACTATGAGCACGCATCCGACTACAGCATATCCTTCCCACCCGAGACCATGCAAAAGTTCTACGACCAATTGGTGGCTTCGGGTCACTTTCAAGTCGACACTCGTTTGCTTGAGCAAGACAACACATATGTTATCGCATCACCCGAGTTACGGGAGAGGCTGGAAGATATACCCGTTATGATGGCTATTACTTCCAAGGACCAGTTTCCCGACGAGCTCGGTGAGCAATATGTCCTCATTCTCCGACCAGAGGATCCTATCAATTGGTTTGGCGAAGTAATCGAAGTACCCTTACGCGACCTGAACCTTGACCTAAAGCGAGGACACATACGCCTCTGCGCTTCTAGTCCCCAGACCTTACACAACGCGAGGAGGGCGTTCCTTGACGCTGTCGATATGCATGTTGACCTTGTGCAGGAATCGAGGTCCAACATCCACAAAGTCAACTCAAGATTGACAGAAACGAGGCGGGTGGCATATAAGCTTTCTAATACATTCATGGACAGTGTTGAAATCATCAGAAAACAGGCTCGGGGAAAGGACTGCCAAGAACTTATTCAAACATGCTTCGTTTTCGCCACAGAGTTTGGCCAGCGTTCGTTACTCTACATGGATAGCAACAGGCGACAGATGAACAATCTCAAATTGACCAAACTTGCCCTCGATTGGGTGAGCTTCATTTGCGACGACTGCGTTGCATCTGACCGAAAGACCTTTCGATGGGCCGTACTCGCGCTAGAGTTGGCCATGGGCATGACACGAGGCCGTCACATCCTTGCACTAGGCGAGGATGAGTATTCCAAGCTTCGTTCTAAGGTCGCAGGGTGCATGTCTCTTCTTATTTCTCACTTTGATATCATGGGCGCCAGATCGAACCTCGCGGCACAAGCCGAGAAAGAACGAATCGAAGCCTTGGTGGGACAGTTCCGCAGGCTCGACAAGAACCGAATGCTGAACGACGACGAGGCTTCACGATTCATCACTGAACAGCGCATGGAGGAGCTCGAAAGGGTTGATGAGTATCGACGCGAAAAGGTTGCAGAGCGACAGGGAGTCGGAAGAGTACTGGAAGGTACTAATGAAGTCGACCGATCGTTGGCGTACCTTTCATCATCAGCCACCAATGTTACGATGCGCTGGCAGCAAGGCCAATTCGTAGGAGGCGGCACATTTGGCAATGTCTATGCAGCAATGAACCTTGACACGGGCCATCTGATGGCCGTCAAGGAAATTCGACTGCAGGATCCCAAACTTATCCCACAGATCGCCGAGCAAATCAGAGAGGAGATGGGTGTACTGGAAGTGTTGGATCATCCCAATGTGGTATCATACTATGGCATCGAAGTGCATCGAGACCGAGTGTACATTTTTATGGAGTTTTGTTCTGGAGGATCTTTGGCCAGTCTCTTGGAACATGGTCGAATCGAAGATGAGCAGGTCATCATGGTATATGCGCTTCAACTGCTCGAGGGTCTTGTCTATTTGCATGAGAGCGGCATTGCCCACAGAGACATCAAGCCCGAAAGTAAGTGGTGTATCTTGTGTCCCTAAATGTGCTGAAACTAACAACGTTGTAGATATTTTGCTCGATCATAACGGAATCATCAAGTATGTGGACTTTGGCGCCGCCAAAGTTATTGCTCGACAGGGCCGTACGCTTGCTGGCGAGAAGCAAGCAACATTGGCAAACCGATCCATGACAGGAACGCCGATGTATATGTCACCTGAGGTGATCAAGGGTGAGAACCCTGGTAAGCCTGGGGCCGTCGACATCTGGTCTCTAGGCTGTGTTATTCTGGAAATGGCTACTGGAAGAAGGCCATGGGCACAGCTCGACAACGAGTGGGCGATCATGTACAACATTGCGCAAGGGAACCCGCCCCAGCTGCCACCTACAGATCAGCTCAGCCCTCAGGGAATCGACTTCCTGAAGAAATGTTTCACAAGAGACCCTCGTAACCGATCGTCAGCAGTTGAGTTGTTGCAGCACGAATGGATCACGTCGATCCGAAGTCAGGTCGTGGAACCGGCAACGCCAAGCGACACAAGCTCGGCACAGTCGACGCCAACAGTCAGCTCGACCTCAAGTAGGCTTGGAGGATCTGATGGGTTTTACTAGACGCCGGAATCCAGATGAAATGAACAAGAAGACCTACAAGAAACGCAAGTTGGGGACAAAGGATATGGAAATGATTTGGTCGGGTTCGTTCAAGCACCAGTCTACAACCGCTCGCCGAGCAGTATGCATGAGCGATGAGTTTGGAGTTTTGTGCTGCTCTGTGTCATACGTACGTATTTGTAATGAGAATGGATGGCAGCAATGTAGGGAAAAGGTGCATGATGGTCATGACCGTAATATTAGACCACGAAGATGAGAAGATGCTGATAGCATCTGATAATACATATTTGGACACAACTTACATAGGTACATACTAGATAGTCTACATGCCTAGTCTGTATACCCTTGCACGCTAGAAACGATCGTAACCTACCTGCCTATTACTGAAGGAAAGACATGATAAGCAATGTGGTATCATAGGAACCAGCCGAAGGGTCCGTCATTTCGGCGCTCAGCCCCGCATTACGGAGGCGCCCGATGCGGAGACGTCTACGATAAAGGGCCCGCCCGTGTAACGAGTGACGAGTGACACGGAATAGGATATAAGCATCAATCGCCCATTGCCACAAACCCTTTCTTCTCTTTTCTTCTTTCCCTCCCCTTTCCCCCCTCTTTCGCACTCTGCTTTTCACCCACATCATATGATGGAGACCCCAGAGACTATCTCAAAAGGCGACACAGCCAAGACGGCTGAAGTCTGTTCAGCCCACGGCATTACGCCGAAAGAGTTCTCAGAGCTCCGTGAGCGTGCAGTTGCAGCCAAGGCCACAGCGTACTGCCCGTACAGCCAGTTCCGCGTCGGGGCCACGGTTCTCTCAAGCCTGGGTGAGCTCACGAGCGGCGCAAATGTGGAAAACGCGGCGTATCCTGTGGGAACATGTGCAGAGCGCGTGGCCCTTGGTACAGCTGTGACAAGCGGTCATCGTGGGTTCCGGGCCATTGCTGTCGCAACTGATATTGCGCCACCGGCGAGTCCATGTGGAATGTGTAGACAGTTGTGAGTTGTTACTGGGGGTGTCTTTGAGAGAGTAGCTGAAGATGAAGATGACGATGGATTTGACTAACAGGTGAGTTGCGTGTTCTTGGTGATGTAGCATACGCGAGTTTTGCACGCTGGATACACCCATTATCATGTTCGATAAGAATGAGGATTTTGTGATTGCAAAACTGCGACAGGTTAGTTGGGCTCTGTTCCCTTTGTTCTTGAGTTGGGGGTTGACGCTATGTAGCTTTTGCCAATGTCTTTTGGACCTGACCAGCTTCCACCTCCGGGAGCACCAGGAACAAGATAGGGGAATACTAGGGACTCATGAAGTGTCTTGTATATTGTTGTTGGATATGATTGGGTCACGGCGATATTATGTGAGAGCATCTGATCTCTGCGAGCGCTCCAGGAACTTTGGGTACAACATCCTCTCTTAGCCTGCGTCTGTATGTGTATCAATGGTCAATAGACTGAGCTGCATTTACAGGCGTTCCTTAGACCGTGTGCATGTGGCTGATATTGGATGATTCGTTTCAGGGCCATCCGTGGCAGTTGGTAACGAGAGAGGAGATATGAGAGCCCTCACAATACATACACGATGGTGAACCAACAGTACTGCTGCAAGTGAGAACCACCTGTAGGACATGCCATACTGTGTCTGGTCGAGTCGTGAAACAAATGATGTACATGTGATCGTCTCGACGGATGACCTGCTCCTTGTCACTTTCAAGTTGCAACCCTCTGACAAAACATCCCGCATGTAAGCGGTTGCGTTATATACCAACGTTAAATCCCACGGAAGCCGAGTTTTGCGCGGTATTTCTCAGTAAATCAAGAAAATCGGCATAATGCCGAGTAATGCATTAGTACTGAATTAGTAAATAAGATACGACCTGAGGTACTAAGCTACCTATGCATACAGCCAGAGGCCTCTTCTTTGGTTTTATACGACGAGCCACCTTCAGTTTAACAGAACAACGACGAATGAAGGTACGAAAATGCTCTACTGCTTCAGGTCAGCGAGCGCTGATACGAGAAAACCATGACCAACGGCATCGGAGCATTCTGTTGGCGGGAGCTAAATATGGAACTGTCATGCAGTAGCGCAAGGTCCCTGAGATTAGAATCAAAAGATGAGGAATCTGGGGTCGGGAACAGTGAGGGTTTGTTGAGAAGTGGTATTTCATGCGAGTCAAGAGAGCCAACCCATATTATAGATTGGGGGGTCAGCCGATGGTTGCTGGCTCAACCTTGGGCGTGAATAGTATCTCTTTTTGCTGCATTCACAAACCATCACTTCGCATTGGGCAACTCGAGACACGACGTCATGGCGACCAGGGCAGACATTCCTCCAGAGATAGCGCCCAAGCTACGACATTACACCCAATGAGCTGGGCCCATCCTCGTTATAGCCATCCCTCAGCCCTGAGCCATCACTCACTATCCCTGTGCAAGGGTCTCGCCAGGATCAAGGCGCTCACCAGTAGGAGCGCAAGTTCAGGCGTCAAGCGATCGATATGAGTGAGAGCTGGTTGGCTCATGGTCATTGGACTCTTAACTGACTCGGTGGTACCTTTGAGAACAAATTCAGTGGCTATTGGCTATTCGATTCAGGACGAACGACCATCAGTAGCGAGTTGAGCAGCGCTAAGCATAGGGAGATGAATGCAATGTAATGCTCGTTTGCCACGGTGCTATGTAGCTCACTGAAAGAATACAGTGATGCGTGGACAGGAATGGGATTGGTCGACTTTATTCAAGCCTCCCAGGTACAGACAGACCGACTTGCTATTGACGGCGCAACGGACAGCACGCTATCATGCATGCTCCACGCCATGTTCATGCTTGAGCCATGTTTAGGGAGGGAGGGGAGAAACTCTATGATCTTTATCCCAAGTGACAAAAAAAATACTTGGGGGAATCATAAACATAGCGGCCTGCTTGCTGAACTTATTTTGGCATCTTCTATTTGGTCTCGATTTTTGCTTATTACTCCCTGAGACCACTTGAGGGTTTTTACATACAAATTATTCCCTCGACTCCCGTAGATCCCCAGTTGTTTTTATGTACATACAAAAGGCCTCCGGCTTCTCACCCGCAGAGCCCAGCATGGGGCCCGGGCCTTCGGTCTCCCCCGTAAAGGCTCCACGAAGCATGAGGGCCCCCGGCTCCTGAAACCCGGGCGTCGAGGCTTCAGTGAAGGGTTTCCATGACAGGCGGCGTCTCTTTTGGAGGCGCGTATCGTGAGTGGCTGGCGGTTGAAGATGAGCGGTTTGAACGGTCTACCGGATTAGGCAACCCAGTAGTACTGAAAGTGGCAGAGTGCTCATCTTATTCGAGATCTAACTGTAATTATTAATGCTCGTGTCACGTTCTGGAAGGGCGGTGTCAAGCGTTGAGGACCGCTAGTTTGGGCCGATCTATCTGTGTGGATCGCCTCATTGAGATACTCGGCGAGTCGTCGCCTCGTCTCGCGTACACATATACTGTACCAAGACAAACGAGGCAACTCAAGCGACGAGTCCGGGTAGTTTCCACGGTTCCGAATGGTTTATGATGCTTATTAAGAAGGATTGGCTGAGTTGCCATCTGCGTAAGCATGCTGTTGATGTGGAAACGGAATGTGATGTGACTTGAAGGGAGCATCTTAAAGGTCGTGATTGTCGTTGAACAATGCGCATACATAGGACCCCCGCGCGTCGCACTGCATCGCATGACATTAAATAGTCTCGGGCCATTCCATCTCATTTATTAACATGGCTGTTATTATACCTGTCCTGATTCCTTGGTAGGAAACATGGCAGTGTCAGGTATGTCAATGGGAAGCGGTGGCGTTGGCGGATGTTGTTTTGTTTTAGATTCAAAGAGACCCTTGTATGGAGAGACAACGAGAGATGACTGCCGATTTGTCAACGTTGCAGGTACTGTAATGCCATTGAATAGGTAAGCTTTGTCTAAATCTGCAGCTATACGAGAATGCAAATACAACCATCCTATTGTAAATAAAACCGTCATTACTCTCTTTGTTCATTTTCTTTCATCGAAGCTCCCAAACTTTCAACTATTCCTGACCGTCACATACCCTGAACTAATCGCCCAGGCTCAAATCCCCGCTAAGAGCTCCTAGTGAATTCATCGCACGTTCCTCCCCAGGCCTTGGGCCCCAGAAGCCCAGGTGCCCCCTCTCCCCCACTACCTAGCGGAGGTACCTCACCGAGCCATCAACCACTGGTACTGGAGTTGGTACTGGTGGGTGCCCTGACCGTCAGAACCACGCGCCCAGTGTAGTGTGTCACTTGGGTCTCCCTTTACAGCCGCTGGTCTCGCTTCCATCTCTTTACTAAGGTACATGCTCGCTCGACTTGACTCGCCTCTCAAATCACTTCTCATCTTCTCTTTCAAACGCCTCCACGTTTCCTCATCTTTAAGTCCCTTTCTCCTCGTTCTTCCCTCTTCGTTTCCCAAGAGGGTTGCTTTGTTCTTCTTTTCGTGTTGTCACATTTCAGCTGACCTAGCGCGACACCGCCTTCGAGAGCTGAGTAACTGAGTAGCTGAGTTCGAGGTACAGGTCCCTCCGCCCTTCTCCTCTCAACCCCAACTCCAAGCTCCCTGCCTACACCACCACACCTCGAGCTACAACAGCTACAAAGTATAGCCTCTCCACCTACAACAAAAAGCCGTTCATATCACCTCGGATCTATCTCAAATCTTGATCCACCCCCGCCTTTCTGCCGCGCTGAATGCAGTACCGCACTCTTGTCGCCAGCTTGTGATTGCTTCACGCCCTATTGCTGCGCCTCTTGTCCAAAGCAACCCGAACTTGCAGCCGCCAGCAGAGCTTCGTAGAACCGCCGCTGACGATCATTACTACCGGGTCGAATAAATCCCCCAGGAATCCACGCCATTGCTCGTCGGCCAAGACTCGTTCAAGTTTCGGGCACCACATGCCACCGTTTATCTTCTGACGAAACCGGTTGGTCTCAACTTCCATCCGTGCCGTGCCGTGCCGTATCACATTGTATCGTATCGTATCCTGCCTCCACCCTCGATTACCAATTTCGAAATGGAGCCAGTTCCCGAGACAGAGCGTATGGAGGAGTTCCGTCCTACTCTTACTCCAGCACCCGCAGCCGTATCTGCCTCTGCCTCTGCCTCTGCTTCATCATCATTGTCTGCTTCACCCTCACTCTCTCCAGGGTATCCATCGCTGCGACTTCAGAGCCCCAGCGCCTTTTCCAACCTCAGCATCGAATTGCCTCGAAAGCCGCCAAACCTGAGACGAAGCACCGACCCCAGTCCGACATCGCCAGCTTCACCATCTTGGTCTGCCACACCCTTCCTTCCGTATCGACCACGCACCACTTCTCCGCTCTCAGGCGCTCATTCTAGGTCTCGTTCTACAACGAGTCTTGCGCCTCCAATGTCTCGTACTCAATCCATGCCAGGCGTCAATGGATCAGGCCATATTCTTTTTTCGCCCCAGCACCGTCCTGGAAGCCCCTCTGGATCTCCTAGCAGAGTCCGGATTCCACGAAAGCCTGCCGACGAAGCTTTCCCGCCAATTTCCCCAGTTCGAACTTCAGTTCTCGAACCTGAGCAAATGCATGAGCGACGAAGTACCTCTCCCATCATGGGCGTTTCCACAAGCACCCCCGCCCGACTACGACGGCCATCTTCTCCTCTTCGAACATTCACATCTTCGAGCACTGGCTCTCTAGGCACATTTCCATCTACACCATCCTCTTCTATTTCCTCAACATCCTCTTATCGAAGCTACGATGCCCTTTCCGGAAGCTATGGCACAACTTACTCGTCGGTGCCCTCCACGCCAACGTCGACCAGGTCCCGAAGCCCCAGCATCTCCAGCTTGGAAACAATTCCGGACACGCCTGATGCTGAAGAAGCAGCGCTGGAAGCTGAAAGAATTGCCCAGCTCAAGGCCGATGCAGATGCTGCAGAGGGAAATGAATCCTCCGACCTGAAAGGAAAGGATGCCCAGACGCGAGGCCGTACGATGGGTTTCGGCTCTAGAGACAAGCGAAAGCGTTGGAGTGTGTGCGGTGCTGAGCGAAGAGGAGATCTCGATCTTGAGACCATCTGGGAGGACTGACGGGCGCAATGCCGAGGCGGAGCCAGAACCAGAACCAGAACCAGATGAACGATTGAGATGAAACAAGTCAAGAGGGGCCACGGCGTATGACGGACTTGATTCGAGCTAGCCTGGGACAATACTCGATTTTACATGATTGCATCACGGGGCGGCAGGTTATTGATGATTTTTGCGGCATAAGCATATGGTTTTTTGTTGTTGGTTTTTTGTTGTTGGTTTTTTGTTAGCTTTCTACAAAGGGCACGACGGCGATTGCGTGGCCCTCTTGATACCCATTCCTGCACGTATGGACTGTTCGACAGGAAGAACCACGCAGACACACACATACACACACACACTATGATTGACACACAATGATACTACTTCACCCACGGATCACGCCAGTTGAATTGGCTGTGAAGGGCACACTTGTACTTACTTTGCCATGAGACGAATCGCGTGCACTTTTTGTTATCTTGATCCGACTCACCAACACGTTGTCTTACCACGTGGTCGTGCAACTCGTGAAGAGTCAAAAGCACGCGAGATGAATAAATCGCCCTTTATCGAACCGACGACATATGAACAATAGATTATTACTATTATTATCAATCCCACGTTCACCTTGAATATGTCTCATGTCAAGTTGTTGAGCAATAAGGTTGTCGCTGTCGCGCTCTAGGGGCATAATTGGCAAATGGAATATTCATAAATGTCTTTGATTCCCTGGCCTTGTCGACGAATTAATTGCTTCTTCCGCCCTTTGTCCTTATTGTTCCATCAGGATCGAGGCTGTTTGGTTGGTGCGAACTCCCTTGAATCGATAAAGTGCCCCCGCTTCACCACCAAAAACGCCGCCCTTCTGTATTCAGCAAACATCCCTCTTTCAATATAGCACCCTTTCTGACACCAATTTGTTCAATATTCGACATCAATATTTCTACCCTTTGACCTATTCACAACTCCCTCAGAAAAACCCTTGGGAAAATGAGGCCGTACTTAAGGACGATGGGATGCGTCCCGAAGATGAATATCTCACCACCGGACTCAGCATCGCCTTCACTCTCACAAACAGCCTCACATTCTCTTGGCTACTCTCACTCTTGTCTTCAATATACATAGAGTCTCAATCTAAAAGATGCGTCTGCCCGCAATTGTTGGTGCCGTTGGCCTCCTGGGCACGGTAGTCGAGGCTGCTCCCCGAGGTTCTTGGTTTAGTTCTGTATGAGGTTCATCACTTACACTAGTAAACATGATCTAACATTTCACAGTTCCAGCACCGTCGAGTTGCTCGGTCTCCCGATGGAAACGCCTACGACCCTCCGAGATATACTCCTGCGAGCAAAAGCACTCCTATCAACACTTACACGCCCCCCAGGAACACAACTACACCGACTACTCACTCAACAACTCTTGAGCCAAGGATCCAGTGCCCTTCCAACTACGTTTTTGTCTCTACTAAGACTGTCGATGTCACTGTCACCGTTACTGCTTCTCCTGATGGATCTTACTACACCACTTCTGTCTGCCATGACTGCATCAAGACCCTGACCATCAGCAACACCATCTACGTGCCTCCTGGCAAGTATGCTTCAACCATGCCATACGGTGAGAAGAACACTGGATATCCTTATCCTGCCAACTCGACCTATGGGGCGCCCTATCAGACCAAGAATGACTATCCCTCCATGAACTCTACTATTGGATACTCTGCCTCTACGCACACCGGTTACAAAACTCCTGGCCAGAGTGCAGTCTACAGCACTGCCGATGGTTACGTCTCTCCTCCTGTTTACACTAAGCCGGTCTATACCAAGCCTGTGTACTCGGACCCTACTTATGGTAACTCCACTGGCACCCAGTCAGGCTATGTCCCTCCTGTGTACACCAAGCCTGTGTACACCAAGCCCACCCCGTCTGGCAACTCTTCGACTTATGAGACTCCCATTTACACCAAGCCAGTCGATAGCCCCATCTACACGCCTCCGGTTTATACCAAGCCAGCCTACTCCCAGCCTATCTCCCAAAAGAATTCATCCACCGTCGACCCCCCTGTCTACACGAAGCCTGTAGAGACTCCTACATACATGCCTCCTGTTTACACTAAGCCGGTCTACTCTCAGCCCAGTAACTCGTCAACCATTGTGCCACCAGTCATCTCGACAACTAGTGACAAGGCCGTCTATACCCTACCAGTCTACACTAAACCCGTCTACACACCGCCTGTCTATACTGATCCTGCTGCCAGAAGCGAGTCTTCTGAGTCCTCTACCGTTTCCATCCCTACCAACTCGACAATCCCTCCTGTACTCTCGACAACATACCAGGATACCACCGTTCTTTCCACTGCTGAAAGCACGACCACCAGCGCAGAAACGGAGACGCCCGCTGAGACCACCACATCTGCCACAACCAGCTCAGAGGACCCCCTTGTGATCCCAAAAACATCCGAGGACATTGCCAGTACCATAGAAACAACGACCTGCGAGACCGAAACTGAGACTGAGACTCCCACGACGAGCGCTACCGAGACATCCTATCCGACGCCAACTGGAGCCGACTAGGAGCAACCACGACAAGGCGGGCCAGGTGCAGCTGTGAAGATTGGGCTGGGACTCAGCACTTGAGTCAGTAAAGATAATTCTTTGATGATATAGCTCCTTTGTACAGACAGCATTTTTGGATTTGGAGTTGGTGGATTTTGTTTAATACCTAATTGGGGTTTCGAAAGAGTGTGGCATAGATGCATACATGGAATGGTTGGGATACGAGACAGTGGTCAATACTGTTAATCTAGAGGGAGGGAGTATGATGGATGATACTTCTTTGATGTACTTCGATTCTATTTGTTTTAGTTAAAAAGTATAACATGTTCGAGCGCTTCGCAATATTTCGTTCTCAGGTGGCTTTCGCATCTGCATAGTGAAGCTCATGGTGCTTAGGGAGGAAAGAAAATACAGGACCTTGACCCTAAATGATAAAAGACTTAGCTAACTTAGTCTAAGTGGGTATAGAATATCTTTACTAAGTTTAGGATGCCTTCTCCTGAGTTTATTTTAATACCTTGTATCAAGGTCTGATATTTTCTTGGTCTCTGAAGGGCACATAGTAAGGATACTCTGGCATAGATTGCAATAATAATGTCACTTAAGTACGTCAGGAGTTACAAGTTCCGATATCAGTTAATTAGTTCTGTCTGTATACTGATCTGCAAACCGTAGAAGCTCATCATATGCCACATAGAAAATGAACTATTCCCCAGCCTGCCCCAAGAAACAACAGACCCTCAAGAACCTTTGCCACAGAAAGAGAATTGCGACGGAAATATCCTCTCATCGATTACCATGATCGATTTTCTCCATGCCCTGAGTTTCGCGAGGGCCACCTTCTCCGCCATCTTTTGTTGCGGATAGCCCATTCATGATATCCAGTTAGTCGCAGACCACAAGACCCTTGGCCAGCACCATGTTGGAGTTATATCGTTGTCCATCGGCAGTACCGACTTTGCGAAGAATAGGCGAAATGAAGAATAGAACACGGCTTTTGGGGGACAAGGCGTTCTTAGATGCCTCTGAATTCATGGCATCTCCGTTCCATTTCTGGTGGCAGCCATATGGTTTCTGAGACTGATCCCGCCAGTGAACTTGGAAAATTGCCTTGGAGCGCATCATCATCTTGTCCAGGTCAATTGCCGTGCATATAATGTCCCTCAGTTGATCAGTGACCTGCTTTTCACACCTGTCTGTTGAGGATAGGCGAGCCGAATAAAATGGCCTTAGACGCTTAGTTTCTCTGAGAACGAGACGTCTCATGCCGCGATCATCTCTCCCCCAAAGGTTGCCGATCATGTCTGAGCCTTGAGCCAGCCACCGTGCAGCATGAGCGATGGAGGTTTCAGTGTTTAGGATGTTCTCCCTGTCTCCAATGAGAGCTTTGAATCTCAGCAATGCCATTAAATAAGGATAAATAAGTAAGAATACTCACTGATAATGTGATCACGAGTGATTTTGTAAGGTTTCAGCCCAGGTCCCCCCCAAAGTTGCTCCTCAGCGTCGAACACCTCGTCTTGAACAATGACCCATAGATAGCCCATGATAAGAAGCTCTCGGTATTCTTCATCATTGATATATCTGCGATAGTCTTTCAAAACAAATCGTAGCCGCTCCGTAGCGAGTTCGTCAAGTTGCTGGTGAAGCGGATCTTGGGCTAGGAAATGAGCCAGACAGCGAATGTTGTAAGTGAGCTCCTTCCATTTGGCTCGAATGGAATCGTCGGTTATCTTTCCAGAGTTTGCTAGAGAGCCACCGTCCAGAAGCTGGCGTAACTGGTCTCTCTCGTGAAGGGCATCATCAAGTTTGGCGTTTACTTTGCCAAGATCTTGTTTTTGTTTATGGGAGTGTTGAGCCATGTTATTGTGATCGATAGTGAGCTTCTGTACGTAATCTTGCTCTGCCTGAAGTTGAGCCCTGAGGTCTACGATGGTGGAGGCATTCGAGGCCTGAGCAGGCTGAGGAATGAAGCTCTTGACATAATTGACGATCCGTTCCATGCCAGTCTCTTGCTCAGTTCGCGTTACCTGTTCAACTCTCGATATATGCTGGGAAGAGATATTGCGGAATTCTTCCAAGAATGCGGTATAGTTTGCTTCTTGAGCTTTAAGGACCTCTTCCACGTTCCTGTCGGAGAGTGTGAAATAAGACTGTGCGCTGGCCTGATGGGCTCGGTCATTTGTCTCTTCCTCAGTGCAGCCCCAGAATTCGGAGAAATCAGAGATCTCTTGGACACTGCTCGTATCGAAATGAAACTCTTCTTCGTCTTTTGTGAGAGGGGTGTTTTGGTCAACCAAGGTATTGAGAGGACCAGGCAGTTCAGTTTCAGGGCCCGGAGAAGGCTCTGGCTTCTGGTTCGGGCCTTGAGCTTCCATATCTTTTGACTGTAAGTATGGGAAGATTAAGCCCCTAAAGGTTGATTAGTACTCAGCCTAGGGAGAATGTACTTATGTGGTAGAGTACGTGGGATAGCAGAGTTGATTGCGGGCGACTTACCAACTGATATATCGTTCAGATACCTTTGACGAAACAATCCACCGCGATGCTTCGTGAAAGTTTGAAGGGTCTAAAAGAATAGCTAGCGATGTGTAAGATGAAAAGATCAGGTCGTGTGAGACTCTGAGGGTGAAAAAGAGACACCGCTGCTTCTGTTGTGGAGAGCAGGCAAATGTAACAGGAGATGGAGTAAGATGAAGAGAAATAGAAAAAAAAGAAAAGAAAGAGAGAGGTTAGGGCGAGTTTACCAACATTTTTCTAAAAGGTCACAGCAATCGCAAGAATGGTTGGCTGCCAGCTTGGAAGCCTGCCACTGGCAATGCAGTGACAGTGAATCACTGGCATAAACTCTGCTGCATGAAGGGAATAGCTCTATTCTTTCTTTTTAGCTTATTGCTCTATTCTCTTTTATCTTTTTATTCTATCTTAGGGCGGAGCAGTGGTTTGACTCTTTCATCTCCTGGGCATACCATATCAGGGCAATCTCTCATCTAAACATCAGCATCGACAGCGCACCCCTCAAGGAGCCTTCTTGATACTGAGAGGAGTCAATATGACAGCTCGTCAGCCCGTGGATGATTTCATAATCATCGGCATCGACTTTGGAACAACGTGGGTTCCTCCTACTCTCCTATCCCAAGTGTTCCATCCTAGGGCTGAGCTGGGCTCAAGCAACTGGTATCGCTAACGGAAATAACTCTCTAGATATTCGGGAGTTGCTTGGGCATATTCTCGAGAGCCGGAAGAAATTGAGCTTGTGACAAGCTGGGATGCTGAGCTTAACCACTGTTCAGATGTTGAGAAAGCCCCAACTCAGTTGCTCTACGATAACAACAAAGGCACATCCTGGGGATACTCTATTCCTGCCGACAAGGATGCCCTCAAATGGTTCAAGCTTCTGTTGCTCGATAGTGGCGATGTTCCCACCGATGTTGCAGTATCTTGCCAGCTGCGACATGCCCGGAAACTTCTGGATAAGAAGAAGAGGGACCCAGTCGAGGTCATCGCATGCTATTTGCGAAAGATCTGGAACCATGCGATTGACTCCATTCGCCGCAGTGTCGGGACCGAACTGTTACAGAAGTCTCAATTTCACGTCGTCATCACCCTGCCCGCAATCTGGCCCCCTTACGCCCAGCAGCGCATGAAGCAGGCTGCCAGCGCTTCAGGTATACTCGATGCTCGATCATGCGGCGACACCAAGCTTCGTTTCATTTCAGAACCGGAAGCGGCAGCCCTCGCTACCATCAAGGATCTCTCCAAGAGGTCAACAATGAAGGCAAGGTGTACAAGGAAGATGTGTTTGAGAACTTGAGCTGACTTCACCAGGTTGGGGATACTATGGTCATTTGCGATGCTGGAGGCGGCACTGTAGTAAGTTCGACTTGAGTCGTCCTATGCTGTCCATTATCTAAATATACTTCAGGATCTCATCAGCTATCAAATCGAATCAATCTCTCCATTTGTGGTCAAGGAATATGTCAAGGGCGACGGTAAGCTTCATTTCAAGATTGAGCACATGCATCGACTAAACTATTAAGGCGGCCTCTGCGGTGGTGTTTTTCTTGACGAAAGATTCCTCTTGCTTATCAAACGAAAGCTCGCCCCTAGATCCTGGGAGAGCGTCACCTCTGCAGAGGAGAAAAAGTTTCTGAACGAGTGTTGGGAACATGGAATCAAGCCTCAATTCTCGAACCAGAACAGAACTTGGCTTGTGGACCTCCCCGATAGTTGCAGTGTTGCAGGCTCCAGCGGAAAGCTCAAACGACGGAAGACCCTTGAACTTAGCTCGTAAGTTATGAGCACCAAATTCTTCTTTTTAATATTGTCTGATATCCTTCGAGAAGCGATATTCTGTCGGCGTACACTCCTATCGTTCACAAGATCGAGGGCCTTATACGTCGACAAACCCAGGCTGTCGAGTCAAAATTTGGGAAACCAGCAAAGGTAACAACACTCAGGCAGAACTTTCGCATGCTAACACAAGTAGTACATCATTCTCGTCGGTGGCTTCGGTCGTAGCTCCTATCTGTACAGCAAGCTTCAGTCTACCTTTTTTGAGAGCACAGTTCTACAGTCGCGTGGGAACAAGCCGTGAGAAATCCCAAGACTTTTGTGAATGTTCTAACCAGTGAATATAGATGGACAGCTATCTGCCGAGGTGCTGTAGTCCACGGCATTACAAACTACGGCCTGTCAGCAACCCTAGGTGCAACAGTAGGCGCACGAGTAGCTCGAAACAGCTATGGAGTAACGTTCGATGCCGAATTTGATCCTCAGAAACACCGAAAATGTGACAAATTCTGGTCAGAAGACAGTCAGGCGTGGTATGCTACGGACCAGATGGAATGGTTTCTGCGGGAGGTAGGTAACCTGCCGTTTCTTAGAAAAATGACATTCTGACTTCAATAACAGGGGGACAATCTGTTAACAAAGAAGCCGGTTCGACAAAGCTACACTCGACTGTTCTCTGAGCCCACCGGGATTATCTCTGAGACCATCTACGGCTGTTCAATGTCACCAGCCCCCAAGACCTTGGGGCCAGCCGTGGAGAAACTATGCGAGATCCGCTGGACACGCGGCATCAGCCTCGAGTCTCTTCCAACCTACACCAACCCGCTGGGCAAGGTCTATCACGAACTTAACTTTGAGATCGAGATGACCTGCGAGGGTGGGATTGTAGACTTTACCGTCTATTATGAGGGCAAGCGCGTCGGTGCCCACAACGTCGATGTCCAGTTTCGTTAAAGCCTGATTTCCGACGAAGAGGATATAAGATGAAATCTGGGATAACCAGACGTTTACGAAACCTGGGCGGAATCTCTTTGGTTGTCACTTACTGTAGGTATACCAGATCTTGCTTGCTATTTGCTCCGGGTCAAGGTGGATTCTATTCCGATAAAATTGATCTTGTCATGTCGCTGGAAGTTCCAGATCCTTCGACATGCATTGAAAAGCTTTGGAGTGCTCAACTAATCCAGCTAAACGTTGAGCTACTTCCAAGATGCCGCTATAGAATGATCTCGAGGAGAATCCTTGGATGTGAAGGTGTTAAGCTCATACGTTTATATGAGAATCTTTTTTCCCCATCTAAATCATGCATTTATATGGTGTGGTATCAATTATTCCCCTTCCATGATCACGTCTTCTTGCGCCAGTGATCCCTCCGCTTGTGGCTCCTTACCCTTTTCCCCAGTATCACCGTTCACCTTATTGTTATCTCTCGTGTGTCGATAAACCTTGACTGTGTTATCCTGCCCTCCAGTCACCATCGTCTCTCCATGGACATCCACCCAGAAACACACGCCCTTGTGACCCTCCACTCTTTGTAAGACCGTCTTTGATCCTACGTCCCACATGACGATGCTGCCATCCTCGCTAGCAGATGCGATGAAAGGAGCCCCGTCCAGAACTCCGAAACAGCCACCCACAGCGAACTTCTCGTTGCGGTGGCCTTGATATGTCTTTTTGACGGTACCGGAAACATAATCCCACAGGCGAATGCAGTTGTCGAGGTTGAAAGCCAGGACGAAGCGCCCGTTAGGGGAGAAGCAAACGTTGGCGACAGCCGGATTATCTTCATGAACAAGTGTGCGTAAGCACTGACCTGTTGATGTATCCCAAATACGACTATATACTTGTTAGCAAAATGGACCAGCTGAAGATCCGAGAGTCCATACATCAAACCATCTGTCGAGCAACTGACGACCAGCGTGCCATCTCGAGAAAAGTCAACCCCACTGACGGGATCACTATGCGCAGGTAAACTTCGCATCAGCCTGCCCGCTCGTACGTCCCACAGAAACACAGCTTCGTCGTATGAACCACTTGCAAGGATGTTGCCCTTTGGCGAGAATGCCAAACAGTGAATATAGTTGTGATGGCCTTTCAACGGCCCCATTTCTTGCCCGGCTACCGATTTTCGAGTTGTAGTTTTTGGCCGGCCTGTAACGCGATCCCATAAACGAATGGCTTTGTCGTCTGAACCACTTGCGATGGTGTTGCTATCCGGTGTCCAAGCAATACAGCTCACGCCTGCCATATGCCCAACTAGTGTATCCATGTGTTCGCCTGTTGTGGCGTCCCATATCTTGACAGTAGCATCTGCCGATGCAGATGCGATGAATTTTCCATTAGGTGATATTCGGACCTGAGAGACGGCCTTGGTGTGACCATGAAGAGCAAGGCGGGCACGATAGTTAGGCTTGAGAGGTTCTGGAGGAGGAGTTGGTTCAGCTCCCCGCACGGAGAGGGAGTCTGTTCGGGAGCGACGAAAGGATAGTTGCGAGCGTGAGCGTGAGCATGAAGAGCGGGGTGAATGTGATCGTGTTGTTACTCGGGATCGCGAGCGCGAGTGTCTACGGGAGTCTATACTAGAGAGGGACCGTGACCTCGACCGTGATCTCGATCGCGATGTACGACGACTTTCGTAGTATTTGTGTCCAGCACCATCTTCGCCAGGACTTGGGCTGATAGTCCTGCTATTGCGGCGATTGTCTCGTATCGATAGTTGGCGTGACTGTCTAGGCGATCGGTCGTTGTCTTCGGCGTCGCGTTGCAGCGCGTAAGGAGGAGAAGAGTCGCCGCTCGTTTTGCGACGCTTATTCCGGGGCGAATCACTGGGGCGATCGTCTTCAGAGGCCATTGCAACGTGAAAATGCGGCTGATTCTTAATGATGCCAGGTCAAGGGTGGAAGGTAGTCGTGACAAGGCTGACGAGTTTGGCGCTCGAGTGAGATGGAATGTCTGGAGGTGGGGCACGAGGCTGAGAGACGTCACCCAATGAATGCACAAACAAATGTGACAAAGAACGAAACAAAGAACACAAGATTAATGCAACTAAAAATAGGGACTAATCTTACTCGAGTCGGCGCATAAAATGAGTATTGATCAAACTTTGAAGGTAGCATTGCATGAAATTGCACTTCCTAAAATTATACCGTCAGTGATTCAAGGAGTGCAATTAACTGACAAGCTGTTATTGGTCAGCTCGAAAAGCCACTCCTGAAGATCCGGAAACTACCATTAGCTTGGAGAAATGGGGGGGAAGGGAATCATTTGGTTTGTGGAGTGAAGCAATCAACTTCCAACTTGGGCAGCTCTGAGATTCTCATCTCCGGGGAACCCAATCACAGAGAGGCATGTTTTCGGCAGTTGATGTCATTGAGGCAATCGATGCCCTCCACTGATTCAAGACTCAAGTTTAGGGGTAAAGTTTAGCAGTTGGGGCGCTGACAGTGGATGCTTCAGGATGCCCCTGGCCTCAGGGAGTAACAAACTTCAAGACTGTGGAGGAGATTGTCAAAATAAACTAATCAGAAAGAGTCAAGAGACCCTTAAATTTGAACTAATTTACCTAGCCTTTGCCTGATATTTTTTTCATCCAGAATTAAGATCTCCAGGTTCATCGGCTTCCCTAGCATCCATGTCAGGTAGACCCAGATTGTCCGATAAAACCTTGGCGATAGTAAGAGATGATAACCTCGTTGGCACGGTTAGAAAGAAGCTTTCCATCGTCGTCTCTAAGACCCGGGCAAGAGGGCGTCCGGTAGTTCAGCCACGGCGTCCAATCTGCGACATTCCGGTGTATTGTGTATTTTCCATTGAGCCGTGCTGAATTGAGTGCTGAACCCCTTTATTACCATGGATGGAGCGCAGTGTCTAGACCGGTTCAGATGCAGCTGCCGGCGACTGTATAGGCAATAAGAGTGCTAGGATGTAAATTTTTGCATGCTATTGGAGGCGGTCAAGAGTCTCGATGTTGGGATGCATTGGTCAGATCTTGGTTTATGTGAAAGGGGGATATTGAATCTGCAGCCACTACTTTCGGTTCAAGCTTCAATTCAGGCTATTGATCGCGTGCCGCGCCGTTTACCATGAGAAAGATTACCCGTGGCGTCTCTGAAGTGTCCCCTTTTGTTTGTTTTGACTCAATCTTGGAAATAGTAGGATCTGGTCTTACAATAGTGGGCTACTCTGCCTCCGGCATGAATTACATTCGAACTGATTCAGGACTAATGTATTGTCGCGGCTGAGACTAGCGATTGGGGGACCATCGTGGCCCTTTTGCTTATTCCCAGCGCTGTCTCTGTTGAAGTCATCCCTTGTGTGTCAGCTTCGTAACCTGAGTGCAAATCCATGCCAAGCAGCCAAGTTATCAGACATTCCGCGACCGACATGGCCGTGAGACAGTTACTCATAGACTTGCCAACATTCCGGTGGCATAGGTTGACCATTCTGCGTATTTCAAGCTTTTAATTCTCACGTCAAGGCTTCTTCAATATCGAAAACATCGATCTGATCGTACAGAGGCGCTTTGGGCATCTCGATCTAAGCAATCTTAGGTCTTGGCCACCAGTCGGGACAATTTCTGGAAACGTGCCAGTAAAGTTACCCAAACTCCTGGTGCAATTTAGCAAGAATAGTGCAATGTGGCGTAAGTAAACCTCCGTTAGCCAAGATACTTTAGGGAGCTGCTATTAAGCGTTAAGCATATGTACCGTCTGTAGTGACATGGAGTGGAGGTGACGCTAATAAGGTGAGGTAACCTAAGGTATTGATGTCGCCAGCACAACTCCTCAGCTGTGGCTGTCTGGAGTCAAAGCCTTTCTGCCAACCGTTTGACCAAGTGCGGTTCTGGCGTCTGCATTTGATTCGCTGAAAATTGCTTGATTTAATTGCATTTAGTTGACATTGTGTGTTGAGATGTTGATAGGTCTAAGAAATCGGGGGTGTATCTTTGACTCTCTGATTTGTTCTTCAACCTAGCCAACTGTTGTAACTTACCTAGACCTGTAGCTCGCAAGGCTTCCATAATGTAATCTTCAGCACACACCTCTTAGAGCACGTCATTCTCGTGCCTGCTGAATTGGGACTCACCGTCCATTTTCGAGGCAAAGCTTCCAGGAGTATCGCAGATTAGATGCGGCGTAGCTATCGGTTCTATTGGTGGATGGAGTCAACACCAACAGTCAAAGTGTTCTGGCGTCAGCGCATTATCGAAGCGGAGTGGGCGAAGGTCCTTGCACAAGGGGCCAGCAGATGAGTTGACCCATATTCTTCATGGGGGGCTAGAAAAGCTTTGGCCATGAGGGGATTATTGAGCTTGAAGCGGCTGGAGTGACTGAAATCACTGGATGAGAAAGCTGCGTCTGAGTTGTGACTCGGCTGTGGAACTCTCACCGAAGCGCTCGCATAGATGAATTAATCATTCTGTCTTTAGGGCATGTTTGTTTGTCATGCAGAGACCTGTTGGTAGTTGCTGACTTGGTCGTGTGCTCGAGCCGAGCAGTTAAATTACTCCGTGGACCGTCGCCAACAGCAATGCCGGCAGATCGGAAATGGTGCCATAATGCCCCGTGATCGTTTCAACGGTTCAATTTCCTTTGACTTCAACGTCACAAACGATCGTCAAGCAGCACATACCACGTAGTATCGTGGGTTTGGGTTTACTATCAACAGGCTCTTGTTAGTCACTGGAGCCGTTGTGCGCCGAACTCGCCTATTTGATACCTATCAAGAGGAGGTCCATGCCAAGCCAGCACAGAAATAAGCAGCCCTACAAGAGCCACAGCGGCTACACAGGGCCTGTACAAGATTGTTTCTTCAGCAAGCCCAATCGATTGAAAGAAAGGCCATAGAAACTATCTGGTGTGGCAGACTACTCAAATCTTACTGCGAGCCTATGGCAGTATGGCAAATTGTTCGCTGATCAACACTTCTTAGCTGCATTGAGATATCAACCAGCA